AGCAGCTTCTTGTTATTATGTGTCATTGAGTCTGAACCAATTCATAGCTGACTGTACAGTGGGGTTTTCAGAGGCTGTAACTCAGACAGGAAGAGATTTTCCATCTTTCTACCACGTAGCCGCTGAAGGAATTGAATCGCATGCCTTTGGGTGGACAACACACCTCCTTAACCCCTAACCCTCCTCAGGCTCCCTAGTGATGGCATATTGCTGTTGTGTATCATGGTGTCACAGCTGACCCATAGCTGACCCTCCAGCAGGTTTTCAGAGGCAATTAATCACATAGGAGTGCAGCTGATGGATTTGAACCGCATGCCTTTGGAATTGCAGTGCAGTTTCTTACCACTAGACAGCTAGTGCGTTCAAACTGTTCATCTTTCCATTAGCAGCTAGATCAAGTTAGCGCATCTGAAACCCAAAACCAAACTCACTGTTGTCAAGACAATTCTGACGCATGGTGACCTGGCAGAACAGAGTAGAACTGTCCTATGGGGCATACAAGACTGAAATATTTATGAAACAGACGGTCACAGCTTTCTCTTGTGAAAAAGCAAATATTTTTATTAGTATAAGCATCTACATAAAATGGTTTGAATGTGACAGACGGCAAATCTCAATAGTTTCACCAGAAATGATGTAGAAGCCGTCTTGCCAAAAAGCAAACAAACAAATACATAATATAGACTGGTGGTGCTCTAAGATTTACATAGATTTATTCAAGCAAACTTACTCAGAACTTATTCTTAAGATTTATTTCAGCAAAACTGAATCATAGGGAAATTCTCTGTTTTTTTAATACCTGAGATGGGAAGAACATTGTAGCTTGGTGTTTTATTCCTTTTGTTTATTCATTCATTTTAATTTTGATAAACATTTGGATCATTTTCAGATTAAGGTTCGCATGAATAATGAATATGAATTCATCCACTACAAATACTTTTGCTGTATAGGCATAGTCATTTTTCTTGGGCATTTCCTATAAGTAAAATTGATTGGCCATAAAAGTTATTTACTACTAAGTAGGAAAGTTTCTGTATGTGAAGGCATTTGTTCCTTTGTTAATTTACATCCTAAAACGTTCCTGAATCCACCTGGCACATTAGAAACCTTGTGGTAATCACCTGTCAGTCCACCATCAAGAACTGAAACACCTGGGAGACCGACAGGATGCTGGGAAAGGTTTTTTATTTCTTGACGGTCTTATGTAATCACAACCAACTGGCTGAGCTGTTAAATAAGCACTGTATAGCTAATGACTGTGTTTTAAGACACCAGCAAATGACAGTTTTAGCAATGAGATGGCAGGTGGGCATTGTATTTTTCAGGGGAGAAAGACAGAGGCTAAGGAAAAGAGAGACACATTGACAAAGAAATCGCATCACAGAAAAATGACAGACAGTTAAAATAGGTAGCAAGAGAAGAGTAGAAAAACAAGGCAAGACGTTTCCCCAGTCATTTCTAGAAAAGAAATTTTACTTAGGATATTACATGCGTTCACATGTATTAATCTGGTAATTATTATTTTGGGGCTCACAGAATTTCATTCCCTCTACTCCCTTATTGTATTCACTTTACATACCTCTTTTTATGAGCGACCTCAAATTCATAACAAACTGCAGTGTGTTAAAGAACCTGTACGTACAAGCAAACCTACATTTATCATGACATAGGCACTTTTCCCTGTTCTGTGCTAATGATTTTAAAGCCTCTCATACCTCTGTTAGGACAAATATATTTGTCGATTTAAATTCATGAAAATGCTCAGGTGGTAATATATGTTGTTGTTGTTGCTATGTGCAGCTTGCGACTCATAGCGATCCCATGTACAACAGCCCTAAACTCTGCTCTGTCCTGTGTCAATCGCACTGTCTCCAATATACCCATCCCGACTACCCCAGTCACTGAATCAATCCACCTCACAGAGGGCCTTCCCCTTCTGTGCTGTCCCTCCACCCTCCCAAGCATGATGTCCTTCTCCAAGGACTGGTCTCTCCTTACAATACAACCAAAGTATGTTAGACGGAGCTTCAGAATCCTTGCCTCCAAGGAGCCACCCGGTTTAACCCTCTCCAGGATGAATCTGTTTTCCTAGCAGTCCATGGTACCCTCAATACTCTTCTCCAGCACCACAGGTGAAAGGCATCAATTCTCCTTCTATCCTCCTTAGTCATTGTCCAACTCTCTGATTCATAACAACTGATAGCAAAGACCATGGCCTGTATCAGATGCACCTTAGTCTCCAGAGAAACACCATTGCTCTTTAGTACTTTGGAGAGGTCCCTAACAGCAGACTTTCCCATCACAATACATCTTTTCATTTCCTGGCTGCTGGTGCCGAGAGTGTTGACCTTGGAGCCAACCAAGCAAAATAAACCTGTGAACAATCTCAATCTCTTCACCATCCATCCTGATGCTGCCAGTTGGTAATATATGATAAGCCCATAATATGTGTATATTACAAAAACATTAAAACATACTACTAAATTCAGCCCTTTGGGATTTAGCTTTGGTCGATTAACTCTGAGATAAGCAGCCAAAGTGAAAGAGTGCAAAAGAATAATCCAATGAATTCAAGGCCTGATGGGTTTGAACCACCAAGCATTTTTGTTAGCATCCGCATGTTTTCACCAACAGGTATGTTCGACACAAGATGCATTCACTGTCCTACTCAGGGCCACACTCCATCCCGTTCCGAAGGAGAGTTTCATCTTTCTCCTACCAAACAGCTGGAGGATTCAAATCTCCCAGCTTTCAGTGGTTGGTAAGGCAACCAGAGCTCTTCAGTTCACGTACAGAAACAGAAAAATTACCGACCTGAAGTCATATTCCCCTACCTCCAGCCCTGCATAGTCCCAAATTCTCTGCCACAATCTATTTCATTTGTTTCTTCAAGCCGTGCTTCTCAAGCTAGGGTGATTTTGGCCCCCAAGAGAACATCTGACAACCATAACTTGCTGAGGGAAAGGATGCTACTGGCATCTAGTGGGCAGAGACCAGGTTGGCTGCTCAAGTTCCCAAAATCCACTGGCTCCAACCCACTGCCATGAAGTTGATTCCAACTCATAGTAACCCTGTAAGACAGACTGGAACTGGCCCAGGGTCTCCGAGGCTGTGAACCTTTAAGGAAGAGCTGCCACAATGTTCTCCAATGGAGCTAGCTGATGGGTTTGAATTTCTGACCTTGGTTAGCAGTTAAATTCTTTAACGACTGTGCCATCAGGGTTCCATGCACAGGATCGTCCCCCGCAATAAAAAATTATCCAGAACATCAGTGAGAACTCAGAGGAGGTTCTTCTTCAAAGCAGGTTCTGGGACGTTCCCTTTGGTGACTGCAAAACCAGAATTAAGTAACACGACACAGGATGAGCAAAAGGACTGAGAAATGGAGCAGAGTCCAGCGGCTGTCTTGGTCCTGTGGATGTAGTAGTGGACGCTTCACAAGGAGAGGAATCTGTGGGATTTTTTTTTCCAGATCCTCTACGTTTATCACCTCCCCAAAGTCTATTCCTCACTGAGGCATTTTAGAAAAAAGGAAATTGAGGAGATTCACACAAACATGGAGACGAAGTAAGACAAGGGCTGTCATGCTGTGGAAACGGCAGTCATCACAAAGCAAACTGTGTTCATCACAAAGCAAACTGTGTATGAACTGTTGAATGGAAAACCAGCTGGCTCTCTGTAAACTTTCATGTTAAGTCATAGGGGTTTTTTGTCTGTTTGTTTAATTTTTTAAGTTTTATTTTATTCTTTTATGTGTGTGTGTATCATCAAATCAGATCTGACTGGTACAGGAGGAGATTGCCCCTCCTTCTCCACCAGAGCATCTGTAAGTCATAGGTTTCTATAAAACTCAAAATAATATAAATAATAATGAGGGGAATAAAAATTACGAAAAAGCATCTACAGTAGGCATTTTAATATATTAAATAAATTAATTTATATCACTAAATTAAATCAATGAATACAATGAATATTGAAGGCTAAAATGGCAATAGTTATTGTGTTGTTATGTGCTGTCGAGTTACCATGAGACTCATAGTGACCCTACGTATAACAACCCTAAACCCTGCCCTATCCTGTGCCAATCTCACTGTCTCTGACACTCCTACCCCCATAACCCCAGTCACTGGCTCAATCTCATTGAGGGTCTTTCTCTCCTGCACTGTACCTCCACCCTCCCAAGCATGACATCACTGTCCAAAGACTAATCCTGTAATATGTCCAAAGTACGTCAGATGAAGCTTCAGAATCCTTGCCTCTAAGGAGTAGCCTGGCTACACCCTCTCCAGGAGGGTTGTTCGTTTTCTTAGCAGTCCATGGTATATTCAATACTCTTCACCAACACCACAGCTCAAAGGCATCAATTCTCCTTCTATCATCCCTAGTCATTGTCTAGCTCTCTGATGCATAGCAAGTGATTGCAAAGACCATGGCCTGTATCAGGTGCACATTAGTCTCCAGACTGACATTGTTGCTCTTCAGTACTTTAGAGAGGTCTCTACCAGCAGACTTTCCCATCGCAATATGCCTTTTAATTTCCTGGCTGCTGGTGCCAAGAGTGTTGCCTGTGGAGCCAAGCAAACTAAAACTGTGACAATCACAATCTCTTCACCATCCATCATGATGCTGCCAATCAGCCCAGTGGTGAGAATCCTTGTTTTCTTTATCTTAAGCCTTAATTCATACTGAAGTCAATTCATACTGCTGTCCTTGACCTTCCACAGCAATTGTACATGCATAAAGTTCTCGTATGCACAAACCTGGATATACTGCAGGTAGCTCTCCACAGTGCTGCATTTTGGAATATGGTATCCTTCATAAAAGTTGAAATCAGGTCCAGATATATTTTCACTGAACCAGACCTTAGCAAACGTATTCAACAACCTCTTATCGTAGTCATCAGTGACTCTCCCTCCATATTGAATTTCTCCTATCATATAGCGGACAGTGATCCAGGACACTCCCTGAAAAAGAAAAAAAATCATATAAGAAATTGGTAAAAAGTTTGTATCAAAAGTGTTACCATCTCATCAAGTGATAATTACATTTATCCTCACAAAGACCATCCATCATCACGACTATGGGAAATTAATGAAAATTAAGCATGCAAGGGAGAAAAGTGAAGAACAGCATTTCAAATTCCCATGGAATCTAGACTTTCTGAATGTATTGCTCTGAAACAATCTTTAAATCTTAAAGCAAAAATATTCTCCAAAATCTAAAAACAAAACAATCCACTCACTCACTCACCCATTGCTGTTGAGTTCTGAGAGTCTATGAGATGCACAAGGGTACTCCCCATCCCCCCCCCCCAAGCAGCTGGTGAATCTGAGTTACCCACTACGGGGTTGCACTGGTTGGATTTAACAAGAAAAGTATGTGACCCTTAAAAAAATTCTGTTGTTTTAAGAATTTTCTATAGAGGCTCTAATTGATAGCAGCAACTCAAAAGATTAGATATAAAACTTAGGAGGCAGTGAGTTTAGAATGGGAGGAGAAATTCAGAAAGGAGAATGAAAATAGACGCACGAGTTGAACGATGCAATCAATATCACTGAATTGTATACAAAGGCATTCTTACATTAATAACATGTTCTGCATACATTCTCAAAAACAATAAAAATAAAATACAAAAAAATAATAAGAGGCTAACATGAGGAACCACTTAAAATACATTTTTATGATTTGAAATAGACTTCTTGGAAGAGATGCAACCAGAAGTTTCCTTAGAAGCACACACAATGGGACTTTCTATCATGTCCTCTGGGTATGTCTTCAGGAAAAACAAATGCCTGGAGAAAAGTAGGTGGTCAGCAAAATAGAAGTGGACCTTCAACTGGATGAATTCATCCAGTGACTTCAACAGTGAGCCGAAGCACAGTAGATATTGTAAGGATACCATGGGATTGGTCGACATTTAATTACATATTTAATGACATAGGGTCATTACGAGTAGGAAGCAATTCAATGGCATTTGCATGGGAAATCCTATGAATGTTCCGAAATGGCTACACTTAGGCTAAGCTAGCTAGATTCTTCTTAGGATAATTTTGTTGTTGTTGTTTCTCTCCTGAATGCTGACCCTTCCATTTCTTGTTTTCAGCCATGCTTGAAGAACTAGATACATACAGATCAAGCGAGTGATTGTTTTTCCCTAGAATAAGCATTGTGAAGCACGTGGATGGCCTAGGGGTAAGTAGCTGTGCTGCAATCCCAAAGGCATACAGTTTGAATCCACTGTTCTGCAGGAGGATGGGCTAAAAGGTACATGGGTCAAATGTGGCAGCTGCTACACAGGAGAAGGATGGGCATTCGCCTCCTGTGCAGTGTATTGCCTCTGAAAACTCACTGGAGAATCAGCTGCAGGTCAGTTCTGACACAATGGCACACATCAACAACAAGCATTGAGTAAGGAACTCTGTTGGCATAGGGCTAAAGGGTTGCACTGCTAGTCAAAAGTCAGGCAATTCAAATTCACCAGCTTCTTTGCTGAGAAAAAACAAAAAAGGACAATCTCCTCTCACGTAATTAACAGCCTCTAAAACTCCACTGGAGAGTCGACTGTGAGTTGCATCCTCCTTGATGGTACATAACGAAAACATTTTACAAGTTAGGGATTCTTAGCATTTCCCTATAGTCTAAGTAATCTTTAACTTAATTACTATTTATTGGGAATTGTGTAAGGGTATAAAATACATAGCTACTTCCCCCCCATTCTCGGTGGAACTCTCTTGCAGGTTGGCCATGTCCAGATCTACTCCCCAGGTTGGCAAGCTTGCTTTTCCCAATAAACTGAGCTGTGATGGCTTATTGGGAAAGAACTGTGCTCCCAATGCAAAGGTATGTGGTTGCAATCCATCAGCTGCTGAATTAAAGGTATGTGGTTGGAATTCACCAGCTGTTAGATCAAAAATATGTGGTTCAAATCCACCTGCTGTTTGGGAGAAAGACAGTTAATTTGCTCCCATGCAATTTACTGTCTCTGAAGACCCACTGGAAGGTCAG